AACAACATCGTTCTAAAGTTTGTTTTTTAAATTAGTCGTTACTTCACTGTCATAAATACATAGAATAATGATGAATCTTGAAAGCTATGTGAAAAATAACGTTCAGAAAAAGTATTGTTAGTGGAAAATAATAAGTAATAGATAAAAAGTGGAATTATTATTTCGCCGATTAACAAAAAAATTCACGAGAATTTGTCTGGTTAGAGATGGTTGTATCAAAATCATTGATACTATTCGACTATAAAATTTATGCGAAGCGTGGAATAACTAGTAATTCGATCGGTATCATTAGTTTAACGAAATAGTGAATACCCGTGCTGAATCAAACTAATGCCTGCTAAAATAGTTTTGAAGCTAATACATCGTGAGAATAGAGAAACATTTTCAAGAAATAGTGATTTATAAATATACCCTCGTATAGAATGAAATCATGAGGGAGGATTTGTCGTACACATAACAATAAATCCGGAATGTTCTCTGTAATACAAGGTGAAATGACAGTAGCGAAAGATGAAAAGCACGATTGCTGTATCGTTGAGTATTAAATGCCAAAGGTATTAAATGAAAAGGTTAAGATTTTTAAGAATACCGGCAGAAAGAAGGGAAGCTGTACTCACGTGTGACTATGATGTGTGCTTCGGTTATGTTTTAATTAATGATAACTTCTTTGTTGACAAGTATTAACAGAACACAAAGTTAGCTCAATAACCAGTGCCATTGTTTTCGGCCATCTTCACTAGACTGGCTACTAATCCGAGTCACGGACGTGACAATGATACATAAATGGGAATACTCATTGATGAAACGTGAATGCGGATCATTCCATTCTTCATTTTCAATTTCATTTAACTACAATTTACACGTACTTTCTCCTATGATAGATTAAATTCTTAATGTCTTCTCATCTTTCGTTTATAAAAGTAACAATCAAAATATGTTGATAAATGTATGTGATTTATACATATTATATATACATATTATATATATATATATATATATATATATATATATATATATATATATATATATAATGCGTGCGCGCGCGCGTTTGTACGTGCGTGCATGTACGCATGTATGTGTATGTACAATTTATTCAAATTGTATTTTATGTAGTTTTGTAATTTCGATTGTCTTGTTGAAAACTATATTTTCAATAAGTATCATTAAAAGAAAGCGAATTTACAAACATATTTGATCATTATGCACATATACTTCCAATGTAACAAAAATTGATATTCAGTACCAATGAATATATGTAACGTGTACATTTATGAAATGCAAATATGATTTGGCGATAAAGTTACATTATCTATGCTTAGTGTATAACCACTGTCTATACATATACATATGCAGTAATGGTTCCTATTTCGGATCGCAGCTTGATCAGTTAGAAAGGGCTCACAATTTGCACCCAATTGCCTGTTGAGACAGGATCCACAGACTTCTACATATATAGACACGAAAGTATCCGGACGCTTCTTAAAACATTAATTTTTTAAAATTAAACTAAACAACGAAATTCTTTTTAGACGATGAAGAGACTAAATGATTAAAATGCCTTTTTTATATAATTTTAATGTTACTTCGAGTGACAATCAAGAGATGAAAAAACTCGCCTTGTAGATAATTTGAAAAACGCGTTTTGTAGATAATTGTCTCAAATTTTATTGTATTAATTGCCAATGTAATCGATAAAATTTCGACAATTAAATGAAAATTTGTGAAAAATAATGATATAATTAATCAAGTTAGTTGCAGATGAACTTCCGTAGTGAACTTCATTCTTATAGTTTATTATATTTCATAGGTACCATTTTCATCGTTTGAATGTACGCGCCGTATGAATTTGTGGCTTCTAAATCATAAAATGTGCCGTAATACAACCGAAGTATGTATACAGAATACTCGATCCTCATTAACAAGCTTAAATTTCTGAGATATCAATAACGATGTGTACGACATGAAAATGATAGTAGAGCTTCTGAAGCCTCATTTTCAATTGACAAAATGCATGCATTGGATATCCAGTCTCTACTCCTATACCTCGTCTGTGATGTATGTGTTGAGGATTTCCTATCTCAGCGCCACCTCTGGTGTAGCGATGAACATTTGATAACTCGGCGTCGGTTCAGCTATGAAGTTATCTCAGCAATGCTAAATCGAAGACGGGAGCGTCAAGAATTGCCGCCGCTACGCATACACTCAACCTCACGATCTGCGCATGTACGCGAGCTCGACACTTCGGATCATTTCGTATAACTTCGGATGTCGAGAGAGAAGGCGAATAGTTATATTATGTATATATATGTAGTCTTTTTTTTTTCTCGCTCTTGAAACGTTTAGGTCCCCGCTGCGTCAGCAAGCGGAAATTCCAAGAACGATCAGGCGCCTAGGACCCCTGCCAGCGTATTGCATGGGGGCATGAGGGGCAATGAGAGCGTCCTCGTTCTGCCTCCTGTGAACATCATCACTATTGCTGATGTACAGTTTATATTTACATATATTTTACACTATGCATATACAGCAATTCACGTTTACAGGACGTAAACGTTACAGTGTTTCAACCACAAAATGAATTATATTCTAGCTTATTTTAAATGATATCCTCATTAGATAGTAGAATTAAAATTCTGTGTGGAGTTTTTAATTAGTAGTACATACACTGTACTTTAAGAATCTACGGAGACATTATCTTACCATAATGGCACGCAATGGTAAGGATCAGTTCAAAGATTCTTATTATATAACCAGATAGTGCTATTTGTCATCATTACAAATTATTTAATACTTATTTTCCTTATTCATTAATAAGTTTTTTTTTTAGGTTTATTTCTTAATGACTTACAACAATCGCTACTCATTAACAAGTGTATCCACGTAGATCAGGAGTCGGAATTAACCTGCCTACGCCCGCGACAGAGCATTTTCGGAGACTGGTCTGAAATATGCTGCAGAGTTATGGAGGAAGGACCGAAGTGGATTGCCGACACTGCCATTGAAATCCATTGCCATCATCCAATCAGTCTTTGAAAATGCTCTGTCGCGGTCAGGTTAATTTCGAACTTTGATGTAGATAATTACTTTTATTTATTTAATAATTGGAGGATTTGGAACCATTGTCGAAAATACGTGGAATTTAATTGAAAAAAATTGAAAATTTTGATATTCTTACGCGACATTGGTAGAACTAGAATTTAGAGATAATCAGATTATTGTCATGGAAAACCAAAAGGTGCTTTTGTAAAGCTAGAACATGTAGTTTGTAGAATACAATATATTGCTCAAAATAATTAGAAAATATTATATAAAAGATATGCGATAACGAAATATAAATGCGTGTAAATGTTTCAATTGCCTAAATTTGTTTGTACATGTTTACGCTAATAGGATTCGTTTACATATGTTGTAAAATATGTAATTGGAATTGCTTATCGTTACACATATTCGTGAAAGAAAAATATCCTCTAACTGTTCTGAGCATCGTAACTTCATCTTGTAAAAAATGAAGTAATAAGAAATAGTTAATTAGCATTTTGATATTTTCATCTATCTTACAGACATATTAACAGATAGAAGGATCGAAGAATTTATCAAACTTAAAGGAATTGTTCTTATTATCCCATGAAATTGAATGTATTCAAAATTTATCGCATGTAAAAAGTTTGAGAATTCTCAAGTTAAGCAACAACACAGTACGAGAAA